TTTTGTTTGAGAAAATGAAATTTCAATTTTAAGAAGGTGTCAGCAGGGATGACCACTAGCTCCGCTTCTTTCTGCTTGGCAGTAAGAGAAACATAAATTCCAGCCTACGCAGCGAGCTCAACATCTGGTACATGGATGATGACACTTTGGCAGGTACTGAAGAGTCCCTGGGAGGGAAGGGGGGGGGCGGTGACCTTACAACTGATGAAAACACAGGGAGAGACTTGGGATCATCCTCAATCCCTCCAAGTGTGAAATCATCTCAGCGAACCATGGAAATAATCAATGCTGTGCGAAGAATCCTCCCAGAAGTTATCACTACTACTCGTCCAACAGTACCCTCCTGGGAGGCACGGCTGGTAGTCACCAGGCTTTGACACAGTCTCAAGGTGACAAAATTGAATGACCTGATGTGAATGGAGGAGCGAATAAGCAATTTGGATGCCCTTGATGCTCTGTATCTCCTCACTAAGGTGCCTTACTATTCCAAGACTCACTTCCTGAGGTGTGCACCCTCTTTGAAACCCAACACTCGAGAATATGACGCACACTGAGGTCAACCTTAAGAAGGCACTGAACTGTCATAGAGGATCAGCAATGGGGTCAGGCAACCCTCCAGTAGCGACTGTGAGGTATAGGGGTGCGCAATGCAAACGCATGTTGCTTTACTGCTTTTCTGGTCTTCGTGTTTGGCTTACCAGTGCATAGTCAAGAAGATGTTCCCGAAGCTTGAGAGACGTGGTAGGTGCTCAAGACCAGGTATACTTGAAAGAGCGATTCGGTGGGGACAACCTTACAGATTCCTCTAGTAGACCAGCTCCTCCAATGAACACAAACAGTCCAACTGGGACAAACCATTCATGGAAAAAAATCGCCAACCCAATGCTCCTCCAATGCCTCAGGAAAGGACAAAGCTCGTCTCATGGCAAGTGAAAGGCACCACACTCAGAGATTTCTTGTTAGTGTTTCCCAATTCCCTTCTTGGGCACTCGACTTGACCCACAGGGCCATTTGGATTGGTGTTGCTCTTAGCATAGCACCACCCCATCCTCAACCCCAACCCCTCCCGAACATAGGTGTATTCTGCGGCAGGGCGAACCAGCTGGATCAATTTAGGACTTTCATGGTCTCGTGTGTCACACAGCAGAAGGGAAAGTATGACAGGCATGAGGAGGTTCACTGACATCATAAAGAGAAGCTCGCACACGCCCATTGCCCAGCTCAACGGGAACCCAAAGTGAGAGGTCTGTCGGAAGTAAAAATGAGACCTGATGGGCCATATGCTACCTTGGAAGGATGGAAAGCAGATTGATGGGGACTATTACATGTGCCACCAACATTGGCAGACACCTACTTGCCTACTCGTAGTGGACGGGGTGGAGCTGCCAGCCACAGGGAGGACCCAGAAGATCCGCAAATCATGAAGACCTTCCCCTTGCTATAACTTCATCCCATTAGGGGGCGGAGACCATTGGAGCATGGGGCAAAGTGTGCATCAAAGTTCCTAATAGAGTGGGTGAAAAGCTATCATAGAAGTCCAAGGACCACAGGGCGGAGGGCCAGCTTCCTCTTTCAGTGGACTCAGTGTTGCAATCCATGAGTTGAAATGCCCGCAACATTCCTGGGCAAGCGGCCCACCGCGGGAGCTGGACGAAGTATTCGAGATGAGCTCTGAGTTACTTATGTTGTTTTACTTTCTATCGTATTTTTGTTGAATGTTTGGTCACTGTATTTTGTCTTTAAATAAAATATACATAAAATATTAGGGGGTGGTAGGAGAAAAATTCTCAAACAGCTTCGGGAGAACTTGAGTTTTCCCGAAGCAAGTTTATTCTTATATAAATATATATATATATATATATATATATATATATATATATATATATATATATATATATATATATATATATAAATATATATATATATATATATTTATATATATATTATATATAATATATATATATATACTGAATATTTGTTTAAGTAAGAGGTTGTCTAACTGGTCACTCATCCATTTACTAGCCACACTTCGCGACCATTAACCTGACCCAATGAAGAAAATGCCACGGAAAAGACTTAAGAAAGACCAGGAAAGTAGAGCTGATAATAAAGTTATCAAATTATTTATAAAGATATATTGACAATCTCCGTTAACCAGGTAGTTAGGCGAAGTGTAATATTCACTTAACTACAGAATACATAATAATTAATTATTTTAATTTTTGGGGGTTATTTTTAGATAATCTACACATATGCTGCTATGTGTGGTAATTTATGTAAGTGTATTTATGTGTACCTGTACCTAAGTAAATTAATATTTTTGAAATAAGCAGCGCGGGCGGTTAGCGCCATTTTACCCTGGTATACACACTACAACCTCAGACTTCTAGATCCATCTATATCCTGGGAACAACTCAAAGTCTGCTTCCACAGGGATAATCCCATCATTTTTGGTGTCGAAAAAAATATATATATATACCAGTTATAGTATGTAATACATTGCAGTTAGTATTGGTGTGGCGCGCGTGCGCACAGCATGAGAGACAGTGTGTGTGAGGGACCAGGACGGGCCACCCAGCCTCTCTCTCTCTCTCTTCTCTCCTCTCTCTCTCTCTCTTACTACTGTAAGACAAGTACCAGCCTCCATCACACACTACAACATGACTCTGAACCCGCAGTACCAGCAGATAGGGGAGACCTTCGTCAAGCAGTACTATGCTATCTTTGACGGCGAGAGGGAGGGCAGGGAAAAGCTGGTCAACTTTTATCACGTGAGTTAACTACTGGAAGTTATTATTAAAAGTCTTGTTTGTACAGGTCATTTACACTGACATTTACCTCTGTTACTCCAGGACTGTCGTAATTCTCAAATATAATGTCTTAGTGTTGCTAGCACTGGGGAGTAGCCACCACGGGTTTTTACTGATTTTATTGAAATAATCAAAAAAGTTGTATATATTCTATAAGATCTGCAGAACTGTATGTAATTTAATGTTTTTTAATCAATTATTAGAAAATAGCAGTGTAAGAGTGGCCACTGGAGTCAGTTTAGTGGTGAGGATATTATGGTGTAAGTGGTGTTACCATCATAGTGGAACTCACACCAAACTTGTATTTAGAACTTTTGAAGGCGTTTCAGTCCCACCAGAATTATTGCCAAGTTACAACTTGGTTTAGGAGCAGAGAAGACCAGCTAAAAATATCGATAAATGGTTCACCCATTACAAGACACTAAGGATAAATTTCTAGGTCTCCACTTTGTAATCTTTAATTTCAGACCCACATCCAGCATATAACTTAGTTTCCAAAACAGTAGGTATCCTTTCCAAGATACAATACTATATACCCCAAAGAGCGCTCCTTACTTTATATCACTCTCTGATATACCCTCACCTCACCTATGGTATTTGTGCTTGTGGATCTACCATGGCCAAGGGTCTAGGTTCGATTCCCAGCCAGGGTAGAAACATAGGGCGTGTTTCTTTACACCTGTTGTCATATTCACATATCAGTGAATGGGTACCTGGGTGTTAGTCGACTGGTGCCCATGGGTCGCATCCTGGGACACTCACATAATTTGCCTGAAATGCTCTGCATAACGAGCGGCTTTCTATATAGTAGTATGTCATTGATGTCATCTAGGCCTGTATAAATTGTACATGTATTTGTAGTAAATAAAGATATTATTAATAATGAATCGTTCAAAGAAGGTTCCTCGATGCTAGTGCGGGGCTCTTGATCTTGGTAATTGGATCTGTGCTCCAGTTCCTTGAATTAAGCCTGAATACCTTCCACATCCCCCACAGGTGCTGTATAATCCTACAGGTTTACCCAGTTAAGGGAGGTTCCTTGATGCTGGTGAGGTTCTCTTGATTTAGGGAATTGGGTCTGTGCTCCGGTTCCCTGAATTGAGTCTGAATACCTTCCATCCCATCCCCATATGCGCTGTACAATCCTATCCGTTTAGCGCTCCCTATGATTATAATAATAATAATATGGGTTTAGCACTTCCCCTTGATTATAATAATTAAACCGTTAATAACCCAACAAAAAGTGGCAGTGTGGATGATCAACTCCAGTATCAAACAATACCCCACCACTCTTCAGAAGTTTGAACTTACTTAATATACAAAATATGCACACTTATAAATGTGCCTACTATATTTGCAGAACATTAAACTCCAATATCAAATCTCCACTAAGAGTTCTAGACAGCTTCATCAGAACACACAGGCATAAAACGAGGCACAAAACACTTCTTGACATTCCTCGTGTCTGTCTCACACCATGCAAAAATGCAGTGCACATAAAGGTCTCCAAGATCTGGAACTCTGTCTGAAGCAGGAAGAGGTCCCCTGCCCACAAATCTTTTTAGGCCTGTACTCAAAAATCATCTCGTGTCTCAGTAACAACTATACCCACTCTATGCCAAACTAACCAGATTTAAAGCAACTCCCGCAAATGTTTTATCCCTTAACTATTAACCCTTAAACAGTCCAAACAGATCGACGTTCAAATTCGTAGTGCTACAAAAGTAGATCTACTTTTTTTTTATATATTTTCAAATATAACAAAAAAAGAATGTAGATAAGTTTTTTTTTACACGTTTTCAAATGTAAAACAAAAAAGAAGATCTACATTTTTTTACATACTTTCAGATGTTGAAAAAACGTATATATACGTTTGGACCATTTAAGGGTTAAGCCATTATTACAGACTTAAAAATGTATGTTTGTATCATAAATTGTTCTACCTCGTATTAATAATAGAGTAAAATATTGAATACATGTATTGTATTCTACCTCTCTTCACCTGTCTAGACTTAAGAAATCTGTAAGTACTATATTAAGCTAAGTCTGCCCGAAATGCCTCGGCATGATAGTGGCTTTCATTGTACCAATGAAATTATGAAATGTGAACACACATTGTAACCTTAGCAAAGAAATACAATTTTATTTTATTTTATATCATTGTAGTTTCCTAATTGGAGTTGTATATTGTTCCAGCTATTAAGTAAGTTTATTCAAGTACAGGTATGCATATACAGCCTCTCCTCACTTAACGACAGAGATCCGTTCCTAAGACCACGTTGGCAAATGAATTCGTTGCTAAGTGAGGAGCATACTACAATGGTAGTGGGTTTGTATCGGCCATCTTTGAGATTGTTTTAATGTCATCTTTGCACTATTTATAACATTTCTGGTATATTCTTAAATGCTTGTACAGTAATGTACTGTATATTGTAATAAACAGAATAGAGGAAATCTGCTCTAATATACATAATTTAGGTGTGATTACTGGTCAGAGAGCCTGTCGTAAGTCCGAGGTATCGGTGAACGAGTACATCGCTAAGTGAGGAGAGGCTGTATACAATCACATACATTATCATACATAGCAGCATATGTGTAGATTGCCTAGGGTAGCCCCTCAGAAAAAGGTCAGTGACTTATTGTTTACCCAAATGGAAGAAAGTCACAGTTTGACTGTTGGGTTATTTTAGGTTGTACATATGTGAATAATGCCCTATATTTCTGTAATATACCCTGAAAGCCAATTTAAATATTTTGTATTGTACGTATTTGTGGATTATCTTCAATAAACCAGTTTCACTCTACTAATGTTTACTTTAAGCTTCCAGCAGAAAATGGTGGGTTACAAGTGGAATTACTATTGTGAGCTCTGTTGGTTTGGCAAAATTGATGTTTCAGCAAGCCTGTTAATTAAGGGTGCCAAAAAATTGATGTTGTAACTGTACTATACTGTGCTGCAGCTTAAAATTTTATATTAATACAGTACTGTATATCACTTTACTACTTATTCTAATTTATATACAAAATTTTAATAAGAATACAGCCAGATAATTTGTTTTGATATGTGGTTTGAATATTTTCAGGCGGAGCTCTCGTTAATGTCATTTGAAGGAGTTCAAGTTCAAGGAGCTGTGCAGATTTTGGGGAAATAAAGGTATAGTATTTTTTCCCCCTTGAACCTTTACTGAAGAACGACATTATTGCTTGCCATAATATAAATATAAATATAAATAGTTTGGAAGTTAGGAGGAGAGTGCGGGATTACCAAAACTGTTGTCCAGAGGGCTGAGGAAGGGTTTTTTGAGGTGTTCGGACATGTAGAGAGAATGGAGCGAAACAGAATGACTTCAAGAGTGTATCAATCTGTAGTGGAAGGAAGGCGGGGTAGGGGTCCGGCCTAGGAAAGGTGGAGGGAGGGGGTAAAGGTGGTTTTGTGTGTGAGGGGCTTGGACTTCCAGCAGGCATGCGTGAGCGTGTTTGATAGGAGTGAATGGAGACAAATGGTTTTTAATACTTGACGTGCTGTTGGAGTGTGAGCAAAGTAACATTTATGAAGGGTTCAGGGAAACCGGCAGGCTGACTTGAGTCCTGGAGATGGGAAGTACAGTGCCTGCACTCTGAAGGAGGGGTGTTAATGTTGCAGTTTAAAAACTGTAGTGTAAAGCACCCTTCTGGCAAGACAGTGATGGAGTGAATGATGGTGAAAGTTTTTCTTTTTCGGGCCACCCTGCCCTGGTGGGAATCGGCCAGTGTGATAATATAATAATATAATAGACTGATTAACTTCTGACAGATGTGGTAAGAAATTTTAATAAACCTTTTTAATATATGGTATGAGGGTACCCCTCTTATCATAACTAGCTGTTACTAATGTCAGTTACTTGTAAATGTTCATTTTGTGTCTGTCATCATTGATGTCTGGTGTGCTTATAATGCAGTTGCTTGCACAACATGACTATGAAGCAGCAGCAGCAAAAAATGATGCAGTAATTAAAATGTTCAGCTGAACCTACAGTTAATTCCTCTATAGCACCTGCTTGATAACTCAATTTTAATATAAAGCTATTCACATTTCTTTTAAATATTACATGGTTTTGGCTGAACATCACACTGTAAAATTTTTAAAGCTACTTACTGACTGGCTCAACATAGTATAATGACTTTATTAAGCAGCCATTAAAGAACTATTACATCTGTCTGTTTTGCTTGTTCTATTACAACTACAACTACAGCTACAGATAATACTGCTGCTATTATTTCTACAACTATCACTACTATTAGATGTACAGGTGCAATGCAGACATGTACTCTAGTGGTCGGCAAACTTTTTTGGGTATTACCCCAAAATAAATTTGTGTACAGTGAAATTACTTGCTCAGCTAAAGATTATTTGTTTGAAAAATATAACTTTCATAATTTGGCTTCCTTATTAAATAGTAGATTTTTGTGCAATTTCATTTGTTTCAACCTCGAAATTTTCATTTTTACCCCATTTGGGGTAATTTACCCCAGTTCCCTGGCCTCTGCTGTAGTGGACCTATAAACCTCTATAGATGATTCACAGCCTTCAAATGATAAAATATAAACACAACTTGCTGCTCATTTGTCACAACCATATCCAAACACCAGTATCAACAAGCAAGAGAGCAAGGAATTTAGGGTAAGATAAAATTCTTCAGTGTCACTATTATAAACTAGAAAAATTGTTTAGCAAAATGTATGAAAGGCCTAGGCTAATGTAACAAAGGACTCGGTCATCTGCTTGATGTAGGTACTTGATAATCTAACTTGTACATGTATATCAACATGCAAGAGGAACAAAATTGATAAGATTGTGTAAAAAAAAATTTGTTAAAAAAGAAATTCCTGATAAGATTGTGTATGAAATTTATAATAGTCACTGGTGATGTTTAAGCCTTTCCAATTTTCTGTGGAAGGGATAGATGGTGTACCATGTCAGAGACCAGCTCCCTTCCCTCCCAGACCTTACTTGAAGTTCCTCTACTAATGTAGTACAAGAGTGGGAGTGGTTGGCTGGGAGTAAGACCTGCATACCATGGGCTAGTAAGCCTACTGCACTAGTCACCTTTTTATGTTTTTGTGGAAAAGCCCTGGCTTGGCAATATTGTACAGTATTATAAGTGGGAATAGCTGAGAGTAGTAGTTGCCAAACATAGCTTAGTAAGGTTACTGTAGTTTTCATCTGTTATTAGGTTGAAACTTTTGTTTCTTGCATGGAGCAAACTGTACTGCTCCCCTGGCCTCCATGTAATAACTCACTGCATCTTTTCCTTCGTATTTGTGAGGCTAAACTTAAGAGGAGAACAAATTTTTTCTTTTTTAACATGAAACAAAATAGCATCTAATACAGTACTTTAATTTTCAAGTATTATACTGCCCTTCAAAAACTATGGTACATTTATATAATAGATACCCTGTATATGAAAGTAAAGATCTTGCATAAAGCTGACTGGTTGACTTGTACTGTATATTATACTGGGCTATACTGACACATGGTACCCTGCTGGAAAGTAAAATACCGAACCCATTTGTTATGTTCACAGTAGTTGTGAGTATAGTTTTTATAATAAGGCTGAAAAATTTACTTGTAAATTTTTCTTTCAGAATTTGTCGTTTACAAAAATTGCTCGTGCTATCACCACAGTTGACTGCCAGCCCACCTTTGATGGGGGAGTCTTGGTTAACATTTTAGGCCAGCTTAAGGTGAGTAATTTTTTGCTTTGCTGCTTCACTGTGTAGAGGGCTGCATTAGTCATTTGTTTTATTGCTGATCATGTATGTTTTAATGTTTTATTGGAGGAGTAATGAAGTAAATAATATTACTGTACACACTTGTACACAAATAACCCGCACAATAAAAGTTTTTGAGAAGCTTACGACGACGTTTCGGTCCGACTTGGACCATTGACAAAGTCACACTAACAGAGGTGGAGCAGGACGGCTATATACAGTGGACCCCCGGTTAACGATTTTAATCCGGCAAAGGGCTCATCGTTATGCGAAATAATCGTTATGCGAATGAATTTTCCCCATAAGAAATAATGGAAATAAAATTAATCCGTGCAAGACGCCCAAAAGTATGAAAAAAAATTTTTTTACCACATGAAAATGTTAATTTTAATACACACAAACTGAAAAAGGCATGCACAATTAAATGACACTTACTTTTATTGAAGATCTGGTGATGATTGATGGGATGGGAGGAGGGGAGAGAGTGTGTTAGTGTTTAGAAGGGGAATCCCTTCCATTAGGACTTGAGGTAGTAAGTCCTTTTCTGGGTTACTTCCCTTCTTCTTTTAATGCCACTAGGGCCAGCTTCAGAGTCACTGACTTCTTTCGCACAAGATATCTGTCCATAGTGGCCTGTACCTCTCGTTCCTTTATGACTTGCCTAAAGTGTTTCACAACATTGTCAGTGTAATAATCACCAGCAACGGCTTGCAATAGCTGTGTGAGGGTGATTTTCATCCATGAAGGTTTGCACTTCAAGCCACTTTGCACAGAATTCCTTAATCTTGAAGTAGGCAACTTCTTTCAATTTCTCTCTCCCCTCCTCCGAAGCAATTTCCTCAGGTGTGGCCTCTTGCTGTTGAAGTTGATCTAGCAGCTCATCAGTGGTTAGTTCTTCATTGTCCTCCTCCACCAACTCTTCCACATCCTCCCCACTAACCTCCAACCCCAAGGACTTTCCCAATGCCACAATGGATTCCTCAACTGGCACAGGATTCTCAGGGTTAGCCTCAAACCCTTCAAAATCCCTTTTGTCTACACATTCTGGCCACAGTTTCTTCCAAGCAGAGTTCAAGGTCCCTCTTGTCACTTCCTCCCAAGCCTTACCTATAAGGTTTACACAATTGAGGATATTAAAGTGATCTCTCCAAAACTCTCTTAGAGTCAGTTGAGTTTCTGAGGTCATTACAAAGCACCTTTCAAACAGAGCTTTTGTGTACAGTTTCTTGAAGTTGAAATAACCTGCTGGTCCATGGGCTGCAGGAGAGGAGTGGTATTAGGAGGCAAAAACTTCACCTAATGAAGCTCATGTCCCCCATAAAGTCGCTCTGCCACGTCTGTAGGATGACCAGGGGCATTGTCTAACACCAGGAGGCACTTAAGTTCTAATTTCTTTTCAGTTAGGTAATTTTTCACATTGGGGGCAAATGCATGGTGTAACCAGTTATAGAAAAATTCCCTAGTGACCCATGCCTTACTGTTTGCCCTCCACAGCACACACAAATTATCCTTGAGGACATTCTTTTGCCTGAACGCTCTGGGAGTTTCAGAGTGATACACTAATAAAGGCTTCACTTTGCAATCACCAGTAGCATTGGCACACATCAACAAAGTAAGCCTGTCTTTCATAGGCTTATGTCCTGGGAGTGCCTTTTCCTCCTGAGTAATGTAGGTCCTGCTTGGCATTTTCTTCCAGAACAGGCCTGTTCATCACAATTAAACACTTGTTCAGGTTTCAGTCCTTCAGTTTCTATGTACTCCTTGAATTCCTGCACATATTTTTCAGCCGCTTTGTGGTCCGAACTGGCAGCCCTCACCATGCCTTATCACACTATGGATGCCACTAACGCTTCTTAAATCTCTCAAACCAACCTTTGCTGCCTTAAATTCACTCACATCATCACTAGTTGCAGGCATTTTTTTAATTAAATCGTCATGCAACTTCCTAGCCTTTTCACATATGATCGCTTGAGAGACGCTATCTCCTGCTATCTGTTTTTCATTTATCCACACCAATAAGAGTCTCTCAACATCTTCCATCAATTGCGATCTTTGTTTCGAAAACACAGTTGAACCTTGGCAAGAACAGCTTTCCTTGATTGTCTTTCTGGTCCCACAATAGTAGCGATGGTTGATTGGGGTTTCTTGTACAGCTTGACTAGGTCGGCTATACGCACTCCACTTTCATACTTATCAATTATCTCTTTCTTCATCTCTATAGTAATTCTTACCCTTTGAGGTGTAGGGTTGGCACTAGAAGCTTTCTTGGGGCCCATGGTCACTTATTTTCCAGAAACAGCACCGAAAATACTGTAATAATACGAAATATTCCGAGTGTATGCTTGGATGTTACCGCGGAGGCTGGCTGGTAAACAATGGGACGGAGCGGCACATGTGAGGCTGGCTGAGGGCACATTGGACGCGTCTCGGACGAAAATCGGTATGCGGGTTTTTAATCGGTATGCGGGGCAAAAATTTTGCGATAAAAGTAATCGTTATGCGGAAAAATCGCTATGCGATGCCATCGTTATGCGGGGGTCCACTGTATAGGCAGGAAGAGGTGGAGGTAGTAGTAGTAGTAGTAGTAGTACAAGAATTGTATATAATACCGACAGGATGAAATGACACATGCACAACACCTGGGCATCCCCACCGTAGACGTTTCGCCATCCAGCCAGCCACTGGATGGCGAAACGTCCACAACAAAGACAACCAGACGCCGCACATGTCTTAATTTCATCAGTAGTTGTAGTAGAAGAAGAAGAGGTAGTAGTAGTGGTAGTGGTGTCTACTCTATTTCTTGCTCCTCCTGTCCTCTTCAATACTTTGGAGAAACTGGTCGATCTCTTTCTGACAGACTTAGGGAGCACAAAAATAGTGTTAGGCTTGCCGACACTAACAATGCTCTTTTCTGTCACGTCAGAGATCATAGCCATCCTATTGACTGGTCTTCTGCCAAAACTGTCTTCCCTACTTCCAACTCGAACAGTCGCCGTTTAGTTGAATCCTCTCTTATACACAACTTTCCTTGTATGAACCTTAGCCCTGGCTTCGTCTCTGTAGATGCCTTCCTCTCCCACTACATTGTAAAATGCTCCAAACTTCAGAACACCCGTGACTTAACCTGAATCCTCATTTTTTCTTCTTCTTCTTCTTCTTCTTCTTCTTCTTCTTCTTCTTCTTCTTTTTCTTCTTCCTCTTCCCCTTTCCTCTCTCCTTTTCTCCTCTGGGTTGTCTTTCTCTCTCCTGTCTCGTGTTTCTGTTCCTTCTTTATTTTATTTCACCACTTCCCCTTTCACGCACCTCGGTGCGCTTGCTCTCCCTCTGTGGGTTTCTAGCTCTCTTGCAGTGCTCCCCTTCCTTTGTATTTGACTGGCTCGTCTTCCTTATTTCCCCCACTTCTACCACTACCACTACTACTACCTCTTCTTCTTCTTCTACAACTACTGATGAAATTAAGACACATGTGTGGCGTCTGGTTGTCTTTGTTGTGGACGTTTCGCCATCCAGTGGCTGGCTGGATGGCGAAACGTCTACGGTGGGGATGCCCGGGTGTTGTGCATGTGTCATTTCATCCTGTCGGTATTATATACAATTCTTGTACTACTACTACTACTACTACTACCTCCACCTCTTCCTGCCTATATATAGCCGTCCTGCTCCACCTCTGTTAGTGTGACTTTGTCAATGGTCCAAGTCGGACCGAAACGTCGTCGCAAGCTTCTCTCTTTTATGTGCGGGTTATTTGTGTATCGTTCCAGTCACGGTATTGTGCCTTTTTGTTATTTACACTACTTGTATTTGTGTATTTATTTAAGATGATAAATATTTGGAAAATGCAAAGATTTGTATGTAAATTTTGTTTCATACTCATACTTTGCAATAATTACAACAGTTTTAAATTAAGCTTGCGGTACTTATGTTTAGACAGTTTTTCAAATTTTTTAATAGAAGAGGAAATGAAAGTCTTAAGTGATGTGTACATGTCTTTATTTCCAGTCTCTAACGAATGTAAAGTACTGTACTGTATAGTCACACCACCTTACTTGCTGGAGATACATTTCTGAGGTACCCACAATAATTGGAAATCCAAAAAGTACTCCTGAAAACCCAAAACTTTCACTTAGCCTAAAAAAAATTAACTCATTATACATGTAATGTGGTAAAGATATTTCAGTGGTCATGATGGTGATTCATGTGAAGCTTGAGAAATAGACAAAGGTGATGGAGAAAGAATCTGTGGAAACATTGCTTGTACTACTGCCTACACAATAAAACACAACTCCATTGCATAGATTCCTCTCAAAAAAAGTTGGTCACTTGGATTTAGCTACTACTTGATACATAAAATAGTTAGCAGGCATGTGCCAATGAATAACAGGTAGAGGAAAGGTTATGTAAGCATTTTGTTGATTGTTGATACCAAGGCACCACAGCAGCACTTTACACTTTACATTTTTTACATTTGTAATTGTGATGCAAAGAACTGATGTGTGAAAAGCTACTGCTGAGTACACATGCAAGTTAATGATTAGCACCACATTATTGAATGTCACTATTGTTACATAATGTTTCTGTATGAGGCTATGATAGCCATAGTGGCTGCTGGCTGACTGCCTCCCTAGAGAAAAAAAGCTATATTTTCCTCCTTTTGCACAATCAAAATATTGTAAATGCTGCTAGTGAAGGTACTGAAAAGCAAGATTTGAATTACAGGTATGGGACAGGCAGCAGATGAAAGTGTGAAAATGTTGCCATTTGCCATTGCTAATAAACCCTTATGAACTTAGTAAACTGGTATAAACAGAGTATGGGGAAGTGATCATGGAGTACATTGTAAGTTTTTAATGAGCACCATTGTTTAATATTGTACATTATTAAGCTGTGTAACCTTGTCGAAGCTGGAATTGCATTTAATCTCATAGGTGGTGCAAACAATGGGTGATGCATCAAAATTTTCAGTAAGCAGGTCT